GTATGACCCCTCTACCACGGCTAGAGTTCCGAGGAACTAACAGTAGGTTTCCCTCATTGCAGAGTAGATTCCCTGGAAGAGAACCCAGGTACCTGAAACTAAAATCTGTAGGATTCGTTCCAACAAGATAAAGGAAAAAGAATATATCTCCTGGGTTGTAACGTCGTGTAGTTCGCTGTAGTTATCAGAAGGATGTATTTGCGTCGCCTAATTCTTGTTGGATACTTGCTAGGTTCACTCTCCGACCCGACTCCGAACAGTCGAGGAACTTCTACCGGACTGTACACCATCATATCTCAGAAGAATGTAACTTTCAAGGTCACAGCTGTGAGAACCTCAAATTCGAAACAAATAAAAAATATTCACGTGGTGTGCAAATCTGAATTATACCCAAAATCTAGCTCCGAAGCACATCATTCTATATATTTCTTTCATAAAACAGGATTTTATTTTGTTTGTAATTTTGTTGTTTGGTAAAATAATGCAAAAACATATTAAATAATTTTACAGATGAAAATAAAACATTTAAAATGATAAGAGTGTTTACCACGCAAATTCTATACAACTCAAAATCCCCCCAAAAGAAGTAATTTCGATAGGTCGTATACATTTTGATCGGAAGCCAGAATTTAGTTAGTCCCCGAACTTCCATTGAGTAACTTCGAGACATCTTCACATGTCATGTTTAAAATGCGGTTATGCTTTTAGAGAGAAATCAATGATGAGAGATTGGGAGCAAATTTGGAAGTTTTCATTACGGTTAATACTTTCTTTTTTCCTTCAAAACTGGTCTTATTTTGAAATGAGACTACGTTCAACTATCCCTGTGTAAATTCCAACTTAGCTGAGATGCCAGAAAGATGAGACATCAACCATAAACCATATAAACCATGAATGGTTAATCTTTTAGCTGTAAGATGGAAAATTTAAAACCATAACTTACTTGCCAGTATGACGTGATACTGGTAGACAATTTTAGCAATTCTGATTTCTATTTCGGTAAATCTCCTGAAATATTTTGTTTCTGCTGAAAGAACTGACGAAATATAATTTTGTAACTACTGACACGGATGGATGCTTTATATTTGCACGCTTTTAAACTACTGCACGAGGTGTCTGAGTAGTGAAGCAAGACTGTTTAATACCCATACCCTCGGATGTCCATGAAAATCACATGTTTTAGGAACCAGTACAAGGCACAGAAACATATCGTGGCATTTAGACCAGTTTCTACGCAACGACAACAAAATAAGCAACTATAAAACGGCCGTTACTAGGCAGCGGTCGTAAACAGTAACAGGAACGGTGTTTTCTGTGCGGTCCGTGCCGAGATGTTATAAGTAGGACAAGTTAGGATTCGGTTGGTTGGTGAATGAGTTAGTAAGTTAGGTAACCGTTGGGGTTCAGGTGCTGTAAGCTGTTGCTATGGGAAGCTGGTAGCGTAGGATGGGGACAATTTGGGAACCCAGAGAACGGGGGACGTCCGCCGTTAGGAGCCGCTACCAAGCAACGGATAGAGAAGCCTGTAACACACTGAGAAGACCTACTGTGTCCTCTAGTGAGAGCATAATACTCACTTGTAATTACAATTTGTAATTATTTGTAATTTGTAATTTGTAAATTATGATTTGTAATAAATCCGATTACGAATACAAACCCCGTCTATAGTCACTCAAGAATAGTGACAATATATGCTCCCTCTCGCATATAACCATAACATATATCCACTAACAATAGATCAATGTTTCAGATCACGCAAGAGAAGATCACTTCTACGGTGATCAAAAAAATAACATTAGTTTAATGACATCAGCTACAACAAAAACACTAATATTTTTAATATTTCTGTATATAATTTTATGCGTTAGCATTTAAGAGAAAGTATTTATTTTCATTTCGTGCAACCTGTTGTGTTATTATATATAATTTTTATTGGAGTCCGTCGTAACCTTACGACGGACTCCAATAAAAAATTGTAAGAGAAAATCACCTCTGCAGTGATCAAGAAATGAACGTTATTTAATAACACAAAACTACAACAAATGAGACATTTAGTATTTTGCAAATAGCTTATACGTTGGCATTAACATTGAGAAATATCACATATGAACTCCATCAAAAGTAAACACTGGCCCATGTAGGGGAAAACAGCAGAAGAGTAGCAAGTGAGGGTAAATATTTTACTTGATGAACGTAAAGATCTGAAATATGTTGCAAATTTATATATAAAATTTATTTACGAACTGTGGTGACGAAGACAATAATAAGTT